ATCTTCATGAAAGAAAACTTTGTTATTATTGGCTTTCATGGATTTAAGATTAAAATTTTGCTATAGATATTAAAAAATAAATTCAATTGGAATTTATCTGGCCACAGAATCTTAAAGCACAAACATTAGTTTATCTATGGAATAATTCATGAATTTTTTATTTCCTCAAACCATAAAAAAATTCAAGATGAAAATGAATAATAGTTAAAAATTAATGATTGACAACACTTCCACAAATAAAAATCTAATCTATGAAATCTATACTCTGAAACATTCTCTAGTTTTCCTGGCTATAATGAATAATGTAGAAATTATGTTGTGTAGTAGAGGGATTTGATTTAGCATTCATTTTTATTTAAATTTTTTTTTTCAGTAACATTGTATTAGTTTCATTTTCCTTAAAACAACATTGAAATAAATTTTGTCCTCATTAAAAACAAATACAAAAGTCTAATTATCTAAAATCAATTTCAACTTTTAGATATAATAAAAAAGAAAAAGTATTTCATAACAATAGACTATGTTCTTCCTCAAAAGAAAATTAATAAAGCAAATATTTCTGATCTGCATAAATATAAATCTGATGGTTGTTGCTACCATCAAGTTTGATGATTTCAACCAAAGTTAAGAAAAAAAACAACCAAAGTTAAGAAAAAAAATGTTTAAAATTCTTGGTTTAGTGTAACTTGCTCGTTAAAATTTTTTCATAATCTGTCAATGATATGAATGTATAGATGAGCATAAGTATTTATATTTCTAATTAAATACACATATTCCTCTGTATGTGTGTGTACATATATATACCCGGGTTAGAATCTCACCATGGATGATTTGACAGGAAGGAGACTTCCTGTTATCAGTCTGGAGTGGGGGATGATCCCAGTGTGTGACACCTTAGTAAAGTTCCTGACAACCATACCATTTGGTAGATAAAACACTTGGGGCCGTTGATAGCTGTGCTAGCACAAAGTCACAAGTCATCGTGACCGTTGGTTTGAGTGCGCTGATGTTGTTCAGATTGTTGATCATCCTAGATAACACACTGTCTCCCAGAAACTGTAACTAAGGTCTGCTCAGTATAGTTGCAGTATAAACCACAGGTTGGCTCTGTTGCTGTTGAACACAAATGTGCCTGAGCAAAAGTTAGCAATAGGGATTTGGCCAGCCACCCTAGTAGAGGGGTATCCTCGAATACAAGTGGCCAGCTATTATTATTATTATTATTATATGTGTATATGTTGTACAAAGTACTATCTGCAACTACTACATTAATGAAATTAGTGAGACTGGACTTTATTTTGGTTGATCCATACAATACAGATATGAAATGTCACGGATTCACTCAAAGCAAAGTTGTGTTCCTATATATATATATATATATATATATAACATAGGTATATCAATAGAACTGTAGCCTAATTATGGAAAACGCACACACATATTTTACACAAATGTTTATTTTACAACATAATCTTCCATGCCAATGCATTCAATTTATTGATAAATATTAATCATAGATTGAATATTATACAATAAAAAAAAATGTCACCATGCTGTATCTTTACAAGAGCCAGATCAGACCAAAAATGGAATACTGCTGCCATATCTGGACTGGCACTGACCAATCTTCACTTCTCAGTTGTGACAGAGTTTGAAAGTGTTTATGTGACTTTATGGATGATTATTTTCCACCTGCCACATTTCAACCCTGACCACGCTAAGCTGAAGATGTCCACAAAATTAGAACATCTGAGTATTACAATGTCTATCTCCAAATATAAACAATATCAAACCTGAATGATGAGGAATTAAAGAAAGCTATAAAAGAAAGAATAATAAAGCATCACTTGAAATTGAGGCTGAACTTTAGAAAATAGGTTGGGGGAAAGAAAAAGAAAAGATATTTCAGTTACTTATTGATCCACCCTGATGTTAATACAACTGCTGCAACAATAGCAGGGTAGCTAACATTGCTCTCATTAGATGATCTTAGATTCAGTCATGGTTTTAGGGGCACGGTATCATTAGTACTAAACAAGTACATGCCAGTAATACCTCACAATAACACAAATGTTTTGTTGATTCTCTGCCACTATTGTAAGAATACTAAATGGAAACAAATGCAGTTTCTGCTTCAATCTTGAAACCAATCTACTTTGCTATCAACTGGAGATCAATCAGAAATATCAAGGTTGAAGTGGAAAGGACACCCAAGAATCTGACTACAGAATTGGTATTAGTTGTAAAGCAAATATTTTTAGCTTATCTTAACAGTCACAAAATCCAAAGATCCATTCAATATATATATATATATATATATATACAAAATGTACTGTCTGACAATTATTTTAATATATTTCCTGTTTATATATTATTTTTATGGATACAAATATTTAAGAAAATGCTGTCAATAATAAACAGCATTAACTACATTTCTTGAACACTCAGGCTGGTAAATGTAGATAATACTATTTATTGTCACTTAGCTGATTGATATTAGATTTAGCAACCTGACTCCAAAGTTTTGTAGACAAATTGTTTTACAATTCTTCAGTACACTTGTCAGGAGATATTAGCAATTGTTTGCAAATTTTCTCATTTTCATAATTTTTATATCAAGTTAAAAAAAAAAAAATAAAAAAAATTCTGTGCTTTTTATTGGTGTTAGGTTGATTTTCTTCTTGTGTGTGTGTATATACACCTGTATATGTGCATATGTACACATGGATAGAATATTGTTGTTATTTTTTGTAATTTTCTTGTCTCTTTATACTCTCTCACTTTTTCTTTTTTTCTATCTTTCAGGTCTGAGTGTCGAAGATAATGTAAAACTTATTTCCAGTGTCATAGACAGGACTTATTTTTATTTTTAGGATAATTTTTATTGAATATTTGGAGTCTTTTTGTTATTTAATTCTTGCTTAAATAATTTATTTTTAATTAATGCATTTTATATATATATATATATATATATAAAAATGTATATAAATGTTTTTCTTTTTGGATGATTATATAAAAACTGTCCAATTGTTCCTTTTATCCAAGTGCTATTGTTGTATACATAAAACAATCTATTTCTTGTTAACAGTTAATATATTTCAACCTTGAAAATGGCTAAATGTATGGTCGAAAGTGCTTGGATAAAAAGAATGATTGGACAGTTTTTATATAATCTATCATCCAAAAAAAAAAAAAAATTATTAGATTACATGAGAAATTGTATAAAAAAAACTAAATCAATGCACCTTGTCTGTTGTATTCAATGAAATGTGCATATATATATATATATATATATATATATATATATATATATATATATATATATAGTGTGTGTTAAAAAAAATTGATATTATTGATATCATTTCATAATCTAGTAACTTGACCTATTCTTTTTCAAATGATTTCAAATTTAAACAGTATATGTAGAAACAGGTCAACTCAAACACAGTAAAACAAGATTTTGCAGCATGCATTTGTGAGAGAATTTGCTAAAAATGCATCAATTGCCATGTAGATTTGGACATGGCATAAAAAGTTCAAAGAGGAAGGCAAAAGGATCTGGATGACAATGATTGCCATTATCAAAAGAGACAGTTGAGTGCATTCAGAAAAAATTTTGCAAAGCCCCAGAAAGTCCATAAAAACAAGTTTTGAAATCCAGATTCTGACGATAGTTTAGCATGTTGCAGAGAATGATACACTACAAGCTGCAGCTTGTTCAGTACTTACCAACATATAACAAGTAAAATAAAACTTGGGAAATCATTCATGAAATCCACATACCTTTGAATTACTCATTCAAATCTTAGACCAGTGGTTCCAAAGCATTTTTTTTATCCATGACCTACCTAAGCATCTCTAAAATCCTGATGCCTCCCACCCATCTGCGACATAATTCTTATTATTCAAAAGTGAACTCCGATTCACATAAAGGAAGCCTAAAAGGCGATTAACTTTCCTTAAGAACTTGAGACTGCATATATGCAATAATATTATCATTTAATTTTAGAATTTTACAATATTTATAGAAATAGTGTGTATGTATATATATATATATATATATATAAATAAAACACACAAGTACATACATACAATACACACACAAATATTTTTATGTATGCATAACGTATATACACTATATGTATTAACTTACACACTCTCATACTCATGGGCTGTAGTTATTCAGATACATGATAGAGAAATAAGAATAATAAAAGAAAAAACAGTAAAAATAACACTAAGCAAACAATATATACACAAGACAAAACTAAGCAAAGCAATGGCAATAAGGCAAAAAGTTCACAAAGTAAGAATGGTATTAAAATTCAAAAGGGATACAGTCAAATGCGGAGTGAGTAGCCATGGTTAAATGCAAAATAAGTGACAGAACTGTCAAACAAACAGAATTGAGAAAATTTGCAATAAGCAAATAACAAAAAATAATATAAAGCAAGCAAACAATATATGCAAGACAAATTAACAGTAATAAGGCAAAAAGTTCACAAACTAAGAATTCAGGTTGACACACAAAAGCAAGATCAGACAAGTGAATATAATGTTCTGACTTCAAGACAGACCGGGACTGAATCAGATGAAACAGAGAATCGGCCTATTTTATTGGCTAGAAAAAAATCCCAGCATGCATTTGTGTGCTTCTACTTGTAAATTGGAGAGGGGGAAGTATTTTATAGTTCTTCCCCATGGGACTGAAACCAACAGATTGTAGTATTCTGACAAGAGAAGAAAGAACAAAAATATGGCAGATGAAACCAAGAAGTGGTCTATTTTATTGGTTAGGAAGAAATCCCAGCATGCATCTATACAATTTGTTTATAAATTTGGGAAGGAGACATTTTTAGTGATCATTTCTACCAACAAAACATGAGACATAAATTAGGGTGTTTTTTTTTCCAGGAAAAGTTGATCAAAGAAATACTAGATTTAATTCTTCAGTTTAGAAATGGGGGAAAATTTAGTTAGAAGAAAAGAGTGAGACTTACTTTTTTTTCTGAAAGATTTAAGGCTCTTGTATGCAGTTGTCTCGCATAAGACTTTGACCAGTCAATAGGAAGCAGGTTACCAAAATTTCCCGTAATTGTCCACCACATTCTGAAAGAGAGAAAATGTCAATTTCATTACTTCACATATATATACTATATAGATATATAGATGGTTAGAAAACATTAAAAGCAACTTTAATATCATATTTCTGATTTTATTAAACTATATATAAATTCTGAGGGCTCTTATTCCATAAGTCCATTTAATAGGTCTTTAATGACTATAAATAGTTAAACATTTAAAAACTGATTGATGTTAATATAATTTTTCCCTATTTTTAATATCCATGTATATAAAATGTAATGTGTATGTACATATATATTTGTGTATAAAAAACACTTTTTATAGTGTACAGATACTACACTCTGATCCTAGGCAGAGCAAACAAAATATTTAAACACTTCAATATTTATGGTTAATGCTAATATCTATATAATACGTGGTCATAATTCTTATTAAAAATTCACACGTGAACTACAATACCTTTTCAATTTTATCAGAAATTCTTGCTATAGCAGAGAAAAAAAAAATCAACCACTAAAAATTATAGAATAGAGATATTGTGAGTCTTTAATTGTTGTTTTGTTTTTGCTTTTTATTAAAAGGGCAGTGATTAAAATCTGTTTATAACTTGTGTTATATATGAATGAATGTAAATACACAAGTGTCTATATTTCTATCTATAATTTTCAACAAGTAGATGATAATAACAGATACAAATAAATATTTTTTACAATTACTATTCTTATTCAGCTTGCACAAAGATATAAAGGCATAGTATTTATCTAGTTTGCTTCTGAGAGTGTGCCACCAATATTTGTCTCGTCTTCTAGCATCTCTTAGTCAAGTAATTATGTTAGTGTCCCCAGATTTATTCAACCACTACAGTAAGGTTATCATAAGGGAGCCAGAGACTCTAAGATTTATTATCCATGGGTGTAATCTTAACAATATAAGATATACAGATGACACTGTGTTGATGGCTGACAGGAAAAGAAAACTATGGGACTTCCTAGACAGGATAGTAAAAAAAGTGAGAAAAAAAAAAAAGGACGAACAATCAATTGCAAAAAGACAAAGTATGATCATCAGTAAGAGAAAGAAAATGCACAAAATGTGAGTTAAAAATTGTAGATATCAACAGCAAGCAAGTTCAGAAATTTAAATATCTGGGAAGTACTTTAATAGAGTATGGAAAATGCAACACCAAAATCCAAACACACATTGTACTAACAAAAGATGCATTCTAATAACTAAGCAAAGTGATGAGAATCAGAAGAATTTTGTTAGAAACAAAGAAAAGAATACTGGATTGCTATGTGATATCCATCTATATAAGACAGTGAATACTGGATAATCTCCCAACAGATGAGAAAACTGGAGGCAACAGAAATGTTGTTCAACACAATGATAGTAAGAATTCCATGTATGGAGCAAGTAAGCAACAAGGATGTCTTAAAGAAAATAGCAACAAAAAGAAAAATTATGCTCAGAATCTAGGTGAGATAGCAAAAATTCTTTGGACACAATAAGGAAGGAGTGTTTGGAAAACTTAATCCTCATGGAGCATATTAAAGGCAAGAGAGATAGGGGAAAGCAGCAGGTTACCTACCTGAACTATTTTGCATTTTTTAAGTTAGCACATTTCAGGAATACTTTAATTCAATTCCCTGGCCTACAAAACACTATTTCAGTAACTTAGAAGTTACAAGTAGACATATAAAAATTAGTGATGGGACAATTAATCAGAATCAAGAATTGAAAATATCTAAACTTTTGGGGGTATTGGAATCAGCATTGGAATTGGAGAATTTTTAACCTAATTTCCAATTCCAAAAATGATTCTTTGGATTTTTTTTTAAAACTTAATTTTCTATTCCTGGTACTAATGATAAAAATATATAAATATTTATTGATTTTAAACTATCAGTAAAACTAAAATCTATACATCATAATAACACCTAAGTATGATGTAAATTTATTTTAAATGTGCAAAAAAAAAAAAAAAAAAAAAAAATGTGCAAGTTTCTACTCAGTTCTCAAACTTTCCATTAAGTTTGCTAGTTTAAAGTCTGTTTCAGTTTAAAATAAAAGATTTATTTTTAATTTCTTTTTAAACATTGTTAATTCACCTATTTAACATTATAAATTATTAATTTAATAATTATAATCAAAATTATGTAAAATAAATGAAAAATGAGTTCATGTTGTTCTGCTGGGCTTTAAGACAATTTTTATTATTTTTTTAATTTATAAAAAAGAGAAAAAGCATTGTATGTATTTAAAAAAAAAATGCTAGAAAAAATTTAGAATCTTATATAAAATTTTATTTTAAAATTCAAATTTTCAATTATTCTTAAGTAGAAATTAAAAATAAAATTCTATATAAAGAGTTTTGATCAGCACTTAATCCAAAAAATCATATAAGGGTGGTGGTAGGCATTTACATTTCCTTTGGCAGAAATTACATAAAATAGGGAGTTACTTTGCAATCACCCTGTATATTGCATTAAAAATATAAAAAGTGATGTTTCAGTGGTGGAATTCAAATAAAAATAAATTTCCCCATCATGGCAATTTTAGCCAGGAATTATCTATCAGCACATTTACTTTCCAAAAAGAAATTGGTTGAAAGGTGAAACAAGAGAGATGATAAGTGGGTAGCTAAGAAATTTTTAGCATTGTTTCATAGATATTTTGATTTGGGTGAAATGCATTATAACTGTAAATAAAATATATATTTTAAAATTATATAATTCAAATGTATAGCAAGAAAAAATCTGTACAGAATAACAGTAATGCAAAAAAACAAAAAATATATTAGGGTGCCTATAAAAAAAAGAAAATAAAAAAGAAAAAAATAGTGACAAAGAGGCAATGGGAAAATGAATGATGCTAGGAAAGAATACAAAGAAATAAATGAAAAAGTTAATGAGTAAGGAAGAACAAATGTTAATGAACAAAGGAAAATGAAAGAAAAGAGAAAAAACAAAATGAACTGGAGTAAACAAAACAGCACATAAGAGTAGAAAAGAGTAGACAAATAAAACAATACTAAAAAGAAAAAATAACAAGATAAAAAAGATGCATCATCCTGATGATGTGTGTGGGAGTGAGCAGACTGTTGGTGCCATACATACATTTCAAGTGAACAAATAGGTGGGTAGTAAGCGTCTCTTCTGTTGAAGCATCATGATAGAATATCAATAGTTTTGGTGGAAGGAGAAAGGCAGGTAAATAACATCAGAAAAGGAGGAGGGAGAGTGGAAACCTAGGAGATGCTTCATTAGATTCTTTCACAAGACACAATTTATATTGAATTTTTAATACAACTGTTTGAATGTGCATTAGGTAATACAGTATGATCAGTTTCAGAGGCAAAGATAAACAATGATGGATTGAATTATAGCAAAATTTGGCTGAGGTTGGTTATGTATACCGCTCACCCACCGCCACTCCTGGAATGGCATGCATCCATTTCTTACACTGTCCCATCAACAGATATTTTAATAAGATATCATGTCCCAATGATGAACAAACGAGGCAATCATCAATTGGGTAAATTACTCTTAGTTGCACAGGCAGTAGCAACATTTTGATAATACTACAAGGGTAATGAAAATGTAAACTCCTCTTAATTACCATTAAAAAGATAAATAACTATATCAAGCAAAACTTTATTTTAATGATTAATTGCAAAAGTATTATACAAAAATAAGTATTTTTGCAATTAACATTTTAAATTTTATAAAAGCTATGTTTTACGTTGTTCAAACCTATAACTGTATAGCTGACAGGTACTTACTACTGAGACAGTGTAGGTGGTTTATTATTTTAATATCAAAACATTATTTAGTCAGATTGAGAATTGGACGATACAATGAAAATGTAAGGATAAATGAAATAATGAATGAGAATAATATTATAAATATTATTTCTAACAAATATTTTATTTTGAATATTTGCATAAAGTTACAATTGTATCAGAAAAATGTTCATTTTCAATGAATACATTTCTATTTGCAAAAGCAAGCTTTGTTTTATTATTATCATTTTGTCAGTTGATAAAATCAATAGTGATAGACAAAGAGAGATAGAGTATGAGGAATTTAAAAAAAAAAAAAAAAAAAAAAAAAAAAGGTTTACGCCTAGATCTGGTTAATTTTTTTTTTTTTTTCAATTAGTTAAAAACATTTAATTACTTTTTTTTTTTCAAACAAGAGTGATTTCTGAGTGAGCATAAAAGCGGATTTATTTAATGATATTAGATCACAGAAAACACCTAAATCTGCAAAAAGAATAACAAAAAAATTAATAAATTACATAAGTAATGGCATGGAAAATAGTAGTTCGAGTCATTTAAATGCGACCCTAACACCATATGCATGTCAAATTTATAATTTACTCTTAAAAATCATAAAAACCAAGATTAATGCTCATCCCCAGAGTTCAATCATACATAGCAAATACTAGTTTTTTTAACAACATAACACCTTGATGCTTGCTTTATTTCAGAAGATGTGAGTACAAATCACTGAGGTTGAATAGACTATTTGCAACCTCAAAACATACAACTATTGTACACAGGCATCAGAATTTCAAAATAATGCTGAAAAACATTTATAATAGATAGAAAAAAATGTTTAAAAATTTTCAATTTTCCAGTCATCAATCAATGTCATTTTCTGACACCTGTCATCAAGTGATAAGAAACTTATTTAAACACTTTTAAAAATTAAAATAAAAATATCTATATCTGGTTAAAATAGAAACTGTTAATTTGATGAATTGTAACAAGATTAGACCCAAATTATTTACGAGTATTTTCTCACATTGAAATTAGCTCACATCACAATTAGATGGTTATTTAATTCAAATAATTTTCTGAAGGTGCAAAGTGAAGTTCTCCTTTTCTCTCTCCACCTAGGCAATTAGTCTGTATAATGGACTGCATGCTCTGGTTCCAAAGTCATCTTTTGCCACTGATTTTATATATACAGTGGGGGAAACAAATATTTGTACACATACAAATTTTTAATTTATTGTA